TGTACCACACAATTACTTGTATCTGAGCAATATTTCATCGCTTTCAATTTTTTTATACAATAATTACATGCACCCGTATGAAGATGTTTGTGGTTTAGTGACCGCAATGCACCCTGGGTAGTTAGTATATAATTGTTGCATCCCGGTTGCATCATGAACGAAGGCGGTTAGTCATCAGTTAGCGTGTGTCGTTGCAGTTTCTACATGAGGATGGAGAATAGATCCTTTACAATTTCATCCGGAGTACCAGCGTTCTTGGCAAAGTTATGGAAGCTGGTTGATGATCCTTCATCGGATCATTTGATATCATGGAGTTCGGTAATAATTCATAATGCACATTTACAGCATAACGTAAATTATTGTACAGCTTGTTGATCACTTGGAATTCGTTCTCACTTGGATATCCAGATTAAGGCAAACAAGTAACGTGTTTTTTACTTTATTCTTATTAGGATGAGGCAAGCTTTATCGTCCATGATCAAGTCACGTTCTCAAGGGAAATTTTGCCAAAATACTTCAAACATAACAATTTTGCAAGTTTTGTGCGGCAATTGAATATGTGTAAGTTAACTATTACAAGAACGGTACATAAACTTCGCTATTGTAAAATTATAGCGTTTTTCTTGGTCTACATAATACTTTGTTGTTGTTGCATGATGTTGTTTGAACACGATAAAATCGTATCGCCTTCTGTTGATAAACATTCTTTGTTCTAACAGCGCCTTTTTCTCTAATGGATATCATTCGTTTATAGCGATATCTTTGTCAACTGAAATAATGTTGTTTTGGACTAAGTCAGTTGACTTGTTGCAATTTTCTATACGCTTAACGTAGCACTTTACGACTCGTTAAATTTTAACGTAGTATGCTCATACTAACAGCAGTAAAATGAACATTCATACACAAATGTTGTTCATTTACTCGTTTATAAAAAAAATTATTAATGTTTTGAATTTAGACGGTTTTCGTAAGATAGTTGGTACTGATCAAGGTGGTTTAAAAGCTGATAAAGAGGATTGGCAGTTTCAAAATGTGAACTTCATCAGAAGTCAACCAAGATTGCTTGAAAATGTCAAGAGAAAGGTAGCCATTATTTGTGATGTTTGTCCGTTAATGGACAGACAGCTCTCATGACTTTCGCTTTTATAGTCAGCACCCGACGATAAAAAGGTAAAAGGAGAAGAATATAATCGTGTCTTAACTGACATTCATCACATCAAGGACAAACAACTGGACATGTCTTCTAAACTGGACCAAGTCAAAATGTAATTCATTGATTTGTTCTTGCAAGCTTATAATGATGTATTATGATGAAACATATGTAATACACTGATATTCCTGTAGGGAAAATCAAAGTTTGTATCAAGAATTAATTGATTTGAGGCAAAGCATGAAGAACAAGAGCAAGTGGTCAATAAGGTTTGGCATTATTGTAATCAATTGTTCTGTACTTTACCATTGCTTAATTATGTTTTTCTCTTGACAGCTTATTCGGTTTCTAATGAAACTCCTGTACTCTAATAATGGCCTGACTAACAAACGACCATTAATGATACAAGGACCAGAATCTTGAATGCCAAACCTTGTTCATCAGGAGTAAATATGGATAATCCAGGACCATCACAGCAGCAGAGCTCCTATAGCATGAGAGTGAGTAATTTATAGTGAACTGAGTGGAAATGTAAATTTTTTTGAGTTATTAAAAAAAACTGTTTTTCAGTCACCACCAAGACCAACAAGCATGAATGTGTCCTCCTAGTTTCCTGGTAAAGAAGATCAATCACATTTCTGAATCATCTTTATTACGAAATTTAGCATGGTTATTTCACTCAGAAACTCTTTTATTTCAGAAACATCAGGTCCAGAAATAACACCAGTTGATAATCCGAAGAATAACGAACATATTTCCATCTCTGCAGTTCGACCTATCATAAATGAACCACTTTCTGAAGACACATAGCTCCTTCGTCATCTTCCTTCAAGTCATTATCAGGAAAGCTACCAACAATCTAGACCCCAGTCTTACAATCCATCCTCAACCATGCGGAGTAGCATCATTCCCAGCACAACATCTACGACCACAACAATGGCTGCCGGACAAATCAACAAGTGTGTATATTTTTTTGTTATTATTATCTCTATGCAGGAATTAACTTGCTCTATTCTTTTAGAGAGCAATTGCAAAGTCATGTTCAGTATATTGAGGATAATCTCTCTCGCTTCAAAGCATTCTTGCTGGCTGAAACTATAGTGATGCAGGCATGCTAGATGTGAGTAATATTCACATCTATTTCTTCTCAAATACAACTTGATTCTATTTCTAATGACAAAAACCTTGTTTTAGGACTTATTGGAATCCATAGTTGATGGACAGATTCTCCACCCAACCAAGGGAGAGGGTATGTGGAAGTCATATTTTGTTTTTGTTCTTTGTTCATAATTTGACCAATGACATGCAAGTTTGGTCATAACTTGACCAATGACATACACGCTGGTTATAATTTGACCAATGACATACAAGTTTGGTCATAACTTGACCAATGACCTACAAGTTTGGTCATAATTTGACCAATCACCTACAAGTTTATCTCTTTAGATAATGACCCTTACCAAACATCGGATTCTCCTCTCATGTCACATCACCAACATCAACAACTGCAAGATTAAATCATCAACCCATTTCAAGTAAACATATTAATTGGTCAGTCACATCAATGTTGCTCTGAACAACAACGGATAGATCCAATGCAAGAAGATATTGATCATGTTATCTTACATGTCCTACATATTCCTTCCTATTTGTGGTACAAATGTCACATTTGATAGTGATGTATGCACACGATATTGGTGTTTGTGATGTAGAAATCATGTGGTTGTCAAGGTTCCACAAAAGTCTACTGTGATTTTGGATTTTAAGAAATATAGTTCATTGCTATATGGTCCCACATTATTTTAATTCAATAATTTATTGCCATCCGTGGGATAAAGCTGAAATTAAATCAGAATTTTAAATACATAATGTACAGGATACTTGAACTTTTTTGAGTAATTGAATTAAAGAAATTATTTGTCATAATAAGAATTTTAGAATAGAATATTGAATGTAGCCAAGAATTGTGTATTAAAATATGAATGTAGACAACATTTGTTCATTGAAGTATGAATTGATAAGTGTTCAATCTACTGGTGGAGTTCCTTCTGCTTTCTAACCTAACGTTGGTTATGAATGAATACATTGCTTACCCTCAAACTTCGTGTTTTAAAACGTATGGTTTTCATGTGTTTTTTAAACTTATGAACTGTATTTATTAACATGAATCATGAATGTGAACTCGCCCGCAAGCGAGTTTCACTGTCTTGAGCCCGTGATTCAGCCATTAATTGGATATCACAGTCGAATTGTAGCAGTTCAATGGCAAAAATGAAAATATTCTCTTAAATCCACCCACAATTATAAGAAACGTTTCAGAAGTATTTCTTGAGCTAAAAATCGTACGACTTTCTAGTAAGTTTACAAAAAACGAATGCCTTTATGTAATTTAGCATTCTGCCTCTTCGCGGTTTTCTTTGATTATTACGGACTAGCGCAATTCTAGAATTTTACAAAATTTTGCTGTATTATTTTTGATTTTTCTTTCTATCCAGCACAGTCTTATCCTGTCATAATCTTCTGGTGAAGACCTTTGACCTTTAAAGAATCAACAAATGAATGGTGACCACTGTTATTTATAAAATTGCCATCGTCAATCTGTTATTCACGATGTCCCGTTTCGAAAACTGTCCTGTCAACGGTGGTATGGCTTTGATAGACAAGGGGACAGGTATTCCAGGCACTCGGTCCGACCCCATGGCACTGATCACAACTATAAACCACTCGAAGAATGCTCGTGGCTGTAAAAGAAGGCATGCTTCATCCAAAGCCACCGAGTTACAGAAGACAAGACATGGATGATGCTTTACATAAACTTCCTATCGAGCATTGCAGAACTTCTACATCAAGATCAGTAGGTAAGGTTGAAGAATAAGTTAACATTTAACAACATATTTATGTCATGCCATCGTTTCTATGGTAACTATCGATCGCATAACTTGTGATACTTGTGTCTTCGTGTCTTGATTTTTATCCGTGAAAGAATGTTTGAAAGTCAATTGCTCCTGTCAAAAGAATATTGAAAAAATGCCTTACATTGCAAACGCAAGCAAATGATTATTTCAGTCAGACAATGAATAAAGCGTTTATTGAGTTCAGACATCTTAATAACGTTACGTCATAAGTGACCGCCTGTGAAATAATTAGAGGATTACTTTTGCCGCTGAGTTTATTTTGAAAACAAAAGCTTTGATAGAAATAACAACATCCTATCTGTTATTTGGTAAAAGGAATAGGGGAATAAAATGTACTATAGCTCATATGCTAAATAATTCACAACCGATGGACCTAACTAAACAGAGTGGTCCTGTCATAGCATCAGCAAAAGAGGGTTTATATCATCCTCGTTTGCCGACATTTGTCGTATGGATATGGATACAGTTTCCCAGAAATTGCCATTCGAGCATAGTAGAACTACAACAAACCTTACTGCAGGTTGAGTTCGCCCCTTCGAACAACCTCGCAACAATGAAAAATCTGCAATATATGATTTGACCTTCGCTGATATCTGTACATATGTTTGTGTTTGTGATACTTTCCTTCTTCTCGTTTATTTCAGACGATTTTCAACATGCTGCGGTTATGTTATTTGATAAACAAGAAAACCTCTTTCAGAGCAGGTTCACTTTTTTAGACGTGTCTTTTTCATTGTGTGTGTGTTAATATTTTGAGATTATACGTCGAAGCGGTTGCTAGGAGAAACGAGTGTTCGATATTAGGAAGGAAACTACAAGGTTTTGATGGCTATAACTTTAAATTTAGACCATCGCGGAGTCCATTGACAATGACCCGATTATCGACAGGAAAATCCGCAAGCTCTGACATCTCTCGCAGAAACATAGTCCAGTAGATTTATGGTTGAACCTTGAACTAATTCCCACAAAAGCTCACTCTTCAAAAATATCTTTCCTTTCATGTACAGAACAACATATTAAAAGTCCCACATGATCTGAGGCCGGCAACTTCGTAAAATAATGTTTTCTGTGAAATTATGACATGAAAACGAGGCTATAAACAAGAATTACAAAATAACACTGCTTTGACCTAACGAATATCATATTTGATTATATAAATCTGCAGCGTGGCTATTAAAAATCATGTTAAGTCTTCAACGACCGAAAAAGGAATCCTTTAGGTTACATAGTAATACAAGAGTGTCACTAAATTTACATATGGTTGATATAGTGTACTTTGATTTACAAAGACATTTCTGTCATTTCATACTTTTGTTAATCATCTTCAACATCAACACCACTGTTAGTGCAACCAGTACCTCTACATTGACCACATGCCATTGTGCAGTGAAGTCCATTTTTACGACAGGTACATCTTGCAGTTGAACAATTTGTGGTACAGTTGCATCGTATCATATTAAGCAAGTTTTCAGGAGCTGCTGGAAGATCAGTTGTTCTAGGTACGATAACATAACCACACATTTTCCAACCAAATGCATCAATCAACAATCCTTCGTCTTGACTCTGCCATTGCTTAACTTGAAGAAAGACTCTCAATGAATGATACTTGGCTGCACTAGATGTTGGGGGAAGACTTTGGGGCTCTACCATTCGGCCTTTAGTGCACACCTTCTCGTAGTACTTCCTGTGGCGCAAACTGTCTAGAGTCTCGCCTTTTTTTCCTCCATACATGCAGACCAAGGCATTTTCACCACTCTGGATAACCGTATTCATGCTGACGTTTGAAACTTCAAATGCTGATGCTTGTTCACGGAAATAGTTTGAATCTGTGAATTTCTTAAGAGGTGCCGATTTTCCAAGGCCAAAGGGCCGGGATGTCGTGTCACAACCAGCAATAGCATGAAGAAACAAAATGTTTTACACAGAGATTCACCCAGCTCTGATCTCACTATTCTCATGTTCCATACTCTTTCCGTTCTACGTTTAGTTGTTTTCTTTGGTTCTGGACGAAAATAAAGACCACATCCCTCATCCACTTTGACGTAATAGCACATTAAAACAAGAAGATCTGTATCATCTCCAACAAGAACGGTAGGAGATTTCATGGCACTTGAAACAGCTGACTTTACTATGAGAAGATCAGCGTCGCCATCGGCTTGGAGTGTAGTACAGCCATTCAAATCCAGATAATTTCGAAGAGTAGTTATAAGTCGTTTCTTATTGTGTATATTAGCCAGGAATACATCTCTTTTCATTGTTATCTTCATGTCAGCTTCGAATGACACTGTTGCTAACCTTTCCGGATGATCTTCGTTGTTGCGCCATGTTCTTAGTAGATGGGTTATCATAACCGTCAAAAACAATACAACTTCCTGCCCCATATTTCTGTTTTACATAGTGGCAGTACTTCTGGCACAATTCTTGAAAAGGTTGCTTTCTTTGGCCATGGTACGCGATGAAGAAGAGCTCCTCCATCAATGACGAATTTGGTTTCGCCGACCGGGCCGGCCTTAGCATCAGGTGACAGCATTTCCCACAATGTGTCTGCAAGATTAGACTTCTGAGGCTGTCGCAACGTTAGCGGGGAATCGAACAAGGCTGCTGGATAACTACAAAGCTCGTATTGAAATACTTCTTCTAAATCATCAACGGTATTACATGCAAAGACTAACCTCTGAAACAGAAGCTGTGGATCGACATGTACTTTTACTCCGTTTATCTTTACTGATGAGCCTGCAGCAAGAGTAATGGCCTGATCTTTACGTGTAAATGTGTAGTCGCATACTTTTGTACCAGCCATCTTTGACAATATGTTTTCTCCTTTACTTCGAGCTTCATCAACATCAACGGAATCATCTGCGTTTACACCTGTCATTATATTCTTGAGAACTGATTCTTGAATAAATGGATTCTTTCCTTCTGATGCAAGCGTTTTAAGTATGAGCATGGTATCATCCATATCTCTTTTCTGTCGACTTTGGGACATATCTTTGTTTTGTTCGCTGTGTTCTAAATGATGTAAATGGTCTTGCATAGCTAGCTAAGCTGGGCACATGCTGAGTAGACAATTCCCACGACACGTTGCCGTTCGGTCATTCCCTTCCTGGAATCAGGCCACCTGTGGTTTAACAGTTCTCATAGGAACTTGTTCTATAATTAATCAGTGGACTTGGCCATGCCAGTAACGTTCCTCCTTCTGACAACATGGAAACCATCTGATTTGCGCTTTTGAGCGGTGGTTGGTCATTAAATGGCGCTGGAATTCTCATTTTTGTCCTGAAGTTTGTACTGCATAGATGATGATACATTGCGTCAGCTGCCGGTAGGTCATGCACACTTTGGATCCTTGATTTTACGGACTCGGCCCAGTCATCGCATCTCACTTTGCAAGCATTCAAGATAGTGTCTTGAATGTCCATAATCCTAACAGTGCAAACAACACACCCCTTTTGCGCTCTTGTTCTTGATTAATTTCATTTCCGCAAAACAAGCAATCTCTTCTGAAATCGAACTGAACTGAACTTTGTGAGCGAAGGGTTCTTGGTACGGGATGACGCTCTTCCTTCTGACGTAGCGATTTAGAAATATATGATGGATTTGTGTATCGTTTCCTACATGCTATGTGAACGCTGTCACCTTCACGGACGTCAACTGTATCGCCTCTTTCTTTACTAGCTCGGTTTATACCATCTATCCCTTTAGATGTTAGAGCCACCCCGTTGTTCACAATTGATTCTTTACATATTGCACAGTACTGACGCAGAATTTGATCCATCCTATAATGATTCACAAGCAAAATAGTGTTCGACAACACAAAAAACATGGTTTTATTTACTGGTTTATGCGATATTTTACAGCCCTGATGTATCTATGGCTTTGAACGCGGTATTATAATGCAAACATTGTATTTGGTAATTAGGTCGCTAATTATAGCCCCCTCTTGTTAGTTTTAACTTAAATTATTGTGACCCACAATATTGACGTATTCATTCATTGTAAAATGTAATAGCAATTAAATAATACATTCATTAACTCATTGTCTTCAAGTTATTTATTTTGCTTACCTTGAGGAGAACA